TATTTTCTTTTTTAAATCAAAATTATTGTTGAATTTATTTCTATGCATGACCGATTTATTTGCCAACTTGTTATTTATGTGATCTCTTTTGTACTCAGCGATGCGTTTCTTTTTTATTCTGCATGTTTCTCCAACATATTATGAAGAACAGTTTTGGCTATTTATTTTATATATGTCTGCTTCAGAAATATTGTTGTTATGGTTGTTTGTAAATCTGAGTATATCCATAATGGTTTTGGAAGTGGTTGTGATTATTTGGATATTTTTTAGATGGGATAGATTGTTCTGGATAGCGGAAGTTACGGAATTGGTCGGTAGTATTATGTATCTGTGCTTGTATATGTAGAAAAATCACGTGGTAGAGATAAACACTTAGTTGTGGAGCAAGCTAAGTGAACAATAACCCAACCTTTAGAAAGAGAGCTATTTATGTTGCCATAGAGCATCTCATTGTGCTAAAGTGGGATAGTCCATTGCTTGGGCTGTGATTGGCTGATGGTACCTGAGTGGAGGTATTTCTATATAAATACCAGCTTGATTCATCTGTTAGTTTGCAGGGTTTGTATTAAGTTACAACCTGCTTTATTTTTGTCTGCCAGCTGGACGCTAGCTGGGACCTTTACACCGGTAAGTGCTGTTTATTATGGTTATTCTACAGTATAATTTATTATTATAGATGATATTTTATTTTTGTTGCGGTAGTATATTTTGTATGCCCTTCTTCTTGCGTTGTGGATGAAATGATATGGGTATTGTAGGTTTTTGAATGAGTTTTCTATGAATTTTATTCTTTGAGTAAATATTGGGGACTTCAAGTTCTTAATGCTCTTAAATAGAAACCTCTAATTATTCCAAATTTAATTTTAGTGGAGTAGTTTGTGTAGAAACTGACCAGGCCGTTTTTGTTGGTAGCTTTTCTATAAACATCAAAATTAAGTTCATTATTGTTTTTGTGTAACATAATATCTAGGAAGGGAAGAGTGTAGTTGGTTTCCGCTACTAAAATAAAGTCTATTGTAGGTTCAACTTTGTTAAGTTGGTTGACAAGATCTGTTAAATTTTGTGGATATATTAGTGAGTCGTCTATGTATCTGAAACAGGAAGAATTTGGAGGTAGAATGTTTTTGAATGGGTCACATTCTAGAAACCCTAAAAATAGACACGCAAGAACGTTGTTGAGAGGAGATTTCATTGGTAAACCAAATTTCTATCTATAGAGTTAGTTATCAAAAGTAAAGAAACATTGCTTGGTGATCAGCTAGCATGTTTTTATGATTTTATGTGTAGGTAGAGGTAATTTAATTTTTGTTTTTATTAGGTGTGATTTTAGTAGATTTAGGCATTTCTCTATAGGGACGTTTGTGTATAGAGATTTTATGTCTAAACTAGCCATATATTTTGTTTTTAATGTCTATGCATAAGAGGTCACCTGATTTTTTTTTATATGTGATGGACTAATGGTGCCGAGGGGTGGGGAGTTTAATATTTTGCTTAGTGTGCCGGCTAGTTTATGTGGGAGCTGGCTATTCCTGATATGATTGGACACATTGGTATGTTCGCTTTATGCGTTTTTGTTTGTCCATATAATGTGGGTGTCTTTGGATGGTATTCAGTAAGTTTTATCCGAGAGGAGTCATCATTTTTTAGTAGCTTTTTGATGTCGCTTGTGATTTTTGTGTTTCTTTTATAGCTTTGTTTTCGTTTACTTTTTCATAGATGTTGTCATTGTTAACGAGGTCTCTCATTTTCTGTTAGTAAATGTCTTTATCCATGACTACAGTTCCCCCTCCCTTATCAGAAGTAGATATGTGGATGTTTTTATTGTTAGCTAATTCTTTAAGAGCTTTTATGTATCTTCGAGGAAGTACGGTGTCTTTTTTTTTTTTTTTTTTGTATATAGCTGTGATTAGATCTTGGATGTAGCCTTCGGTAAAATCAGAATCGTTGTGGTGATGATTTTTAATTATGTAATCTGTGGTGTCATATTTTGGTATTCCGGTAGCAAATTTTTGACCAAAGCTTCTAATTGTGTATCCTATATATATATATATATATATATATATATATATATATTCAATACTTCGCTAAAAAAGAACATACCCTGATGAAAAAAGGCCACAAACTTGATAATTTGTTATCGTCTAAATGTTTGTTATTAATGTTATTATTAAGAGGAAAGACCTAAGTATTTTTTGAGTATGTTTTAAAATTTTTAATCCTTCCTAGCAAGTCCGAAATTTTAGTTAAAAATCTTTTCTTTTTTTTTTTTTAGTCAATAAAATCAATCATGTCGGCCATTTTTAACAACTTTGTAAACAAAAATGAAATTCTCCGTTTAAAAATCGTGTAAAATTCAATTATACTTTTTCAAAAATTATTTTAGAGAAATTAGAAAATTTAAAGTTTATTAAATGTAATTGGAAACAAACCTTACTTGATCTTTTAGCAGAAAAATTTAGTTGGAAATAAGAGAAGCATGTCTAACCGTGGTGATTGGTTTTGGAGGTGGGAATTGACGTTTAATTCAATGTATCGACAACTAACGTCAGGACAATTTATCGGACAGAAGTGACGGATTTTAAGTGAACTAGCTTATTTAACTATAAAGTAATTCTTAAAAATTAAATACTTTCAAAAGTCTAATATTTTATTTATTTTTAGGTACTTTTTTAACGAATATATGTTCAAAGTCCGCACTCTTCCCTTCCCCAAAATAAAATCGAAAAAAAAAAAGAAAAAATTAATAATAGCAGTATGTCCCACAGTGAAAAAGAAAAAATTGATTATATTTAAAAAATGAAAAGAAAATATTTAGTGAAATATGTAAAAACGAAAATTAAAAATTTCGAAAATGCGACAATAATGGTCGGTGAGTTCGAGAATTTGATATGGGCAACCAGAATGAAATCAACGCACTTTATGAGGTTGGATCCTCGCTATTAGGAGAAACAACTCTTAAAACACGTGACATTATTTGTGAATTGTGCCTCCGTACTTTTGCCAGAAACGTTTTTAATACATTTTTAGCATATTAAAAAAATTATTTTAAAAATACAAACGCTTCGATGATTGTAATAAGCTTTCAAATTTAAGATCTGTAAAAATAGATCTTTTAGTAAAAGCATTTCCAGGGACACACATATTCAAACTTAATTTTGAAATATTTAACAACTTTATCACATTTTGAATTTAAAATTGAAAGAAAAAGAAAACAATTTTTGTAAAAATTCGTTTTTCATTGGAAAAATATTTTGGCTTCAGACAATAATATCCTTAACATATATCATTCATAAAAGCCATTAAAAGCGTTTCTAATTAAATAATGTCTTAGTTTTATTGAGTCTTGTATTTTACAATCCAGAGCTAAATTTTGGGTAGAAACATTTCTCGACTTAAAAGAAAAACGATGATTTATATGCTTCAAAGTCTTCTGCATTAATTTAAAAATTACAAAAATAAACATTTCATAAAATTAAGTAAGGTGGGGGAACAGATGTAAAAAAAAATATTTTTACCATGATTTTCTAAAAAAAAACTAAAATTTCTAAAATAATTTCATTCATTTTTCGTATAAGTTCTGCAAATTTCATTAAAATCCGACAATTATTTGATTTTTGCAAGAATTTCCAAATTAATGTGTTTTTCAACTGAAAAAAGCGCTAAAAAGACTAATGCTAATTATTGACCGCTGACGTAAAAAAAAAAAAAAAAAAAAAAATTAACTAAAATTTCGAACGTGCTAGAGATGATTAAAAAAATTTAAATAATAAAAAACTACTTTGGTCTTTCCTCTTAATAACATGAACATTTTGGCGATAAAACTTTTTTTTTATTAAATTTGGGGCCTTTTTTCATACTATGCTGTTTTTTCAGAAAATTATTGAATATACCAAATATATACCATATTGGAATTTCGATAAGTTTGTTATTAGTTCTCTTTTGCCGACTTTGGACCATTTGCTATTGCTATTGAGTTTGTTTTGCAAAACACGAACATGCTTCTTATTTCATCCTGTTCGTATTTATGTATTTTCCTTTCATATATGACTTGTGGTATGTTTGCAAGACTGTCAAATCATCTTCCCGCCGCTTGACCAGGGAACCATAAACATGGGGTACCAAGGGACAGGATTTAGCCCTCTGAACACACATTCACTGGCACAGTATGTACAGTTTTGGTTTGATTCAAATGAAATTTACGACACACTTGCGGCTTACTATCGCCTTTATTTGTGTCAAATTTTTTTTTATTTTCCTTTTCTAAAATAACCGTAGCTGCACGCGGATCAATCTTTTTTGACACAACTTCCTTACACACACACACACAAAATTCTTCAATTTCATTAGCTGCGTACAACCGAGTCCGCGTGTCGATACCGAGACTGCTGCAAGCCCATTGGTCGCTTTCACAGAGCTTGACCTTGGGGCCTGTCCAATCATCGCGCAGGATTTCTCACACGTTATAGCGCCCGCGTGATCGCGCGTCAGCGTCATGTGTACCAAACCTATATATAATATATATAAATCATACGGCCCAGTGCAAAGTAAGGACCATTTTGCAGAATTTTAGCAGACTTTGGGCGATGGTCCAAATGCGCTCAAGGTCAACCACCTCTATTGCGTGACTCGGGCGTGCTTTCACACTTTTGCGTTTATTGTTGCCCGCGTACGCACTTGGCTTACTTTTTTATTCGCCTACTTCGGACACCACAAGTTGTTGATTACGTGTTCTAGCTGCTTTTTTTTTTTTATAGTTCCAACCCAACCCCACACACGTTAGCCAATTGTACTAAAAACCTCCATTTCCTTTTGGATTTACCCTTGGTTTACCTTTTTAAATTTCCACTTTTTTAGTTTCGAGTTCCCCTTTAGTAACAACTGAACTCATTTTACTGGGTGTTCCCCTTTTTGTGTGTACGTTAGCAGTGCACGTTTTTTCGTTTTGGATTTGTCGAAATCGCTTTTTAAGCTTTACCCACTTTGACGTTTTTACTATTTGGATGCCACCTAAAAGGAGCAAACTTTTGGGACGGCGCACGGCAGCTGCCTCCACTGCTAGAGTAGCGAGGGTGAGTGAAACCCCTGAACAGACTTCTTTGCGTCTTTCACGGATGGCCTCGAGCTCAGCTACTCGCTTATCTACGGAAAGCGCCGCTGCGCGGACTGAAATGTTGGCTTCAGCGGCTTCAACCATGTCTGCACGCCGCGCCAGGCTTTCAGTTGAAAAACGTTCACTTCAGAATTCACAGGACGCGTGGCTAGGTTGAGGGCTTCACAGTCCCCAGCACAGAAAACCCTTCGTCGTTTGCGGGATGCCACCGCCAAAGCTTGCTCCAGGGGTTTAGAAAGCCCCGAACAAACAACTTCACGTCGTCTTAGGAATACTAAGGCTACAGCCGCCTCTAGAGCTTCGGAACAACACCAAGTAACAGCTCATCGTCTCTTTAGAAATGCCCTATCTACCGCGTCTGCCAGAGCCTTTCGAAAGCCCTGCACAGACCACTGTTCGTCGCGTTTAGAAATGCCCTCTCCACTGCATCTGCTAGAGCCCTAAAAAGCCCTGCACAGACCACTGTTCGTCGCGTTAGAAATGCCTGCTCTCGCTGTGTCTGCCAGGGCTGCTGTTCGTCGCGAAAATGCCCGCTCTACGCCGTCAAGGGCTGCAGAAAACATTAGGCTCGAAAACATTAGCAACTTCGAGCTTCTTTGAATGGCGTAACTTCGCCGTCTGCGTCATTTTGGTCAAATGCCGCATAGAATTATGACTGCACTGTCAACTATTCCGCTACGAGAGACGTACAAATAGAGGCCATTGATTATGTTTTGCAACGCAAAAAAGTGGCTCGGTGAGCAACCTGAGATTTGTTGCTCTGGGGGCAAAAAATCAAACTCCCTTCTTTAGACGAACCTCCCCAGCCGCTTAGGGGGTTCCTTCCGGGTACAACTTCGGAGTCAACGCATTTTCTTGAAGCAATACGGAAGTACAACTGTTGCTTCCAGATGACGTCTTTTGGTGCGAAGGCTATTAGTGAGGGGTGATGGATGCCTACTTTCAAAGTGCAAGGCCAGGTTTACCACTTAATGGGATCACTTTTGGCTGATCAGCAGAGCCATCTCAGTTCCTACAAATTTACTTTCTCGCTGACTACAACGAGCAGGTTGATGCGCGTCTCGGCATTCTGCCTAGCGATATTTCCGTCGGTCCCCGTAGAGACATTCTGTTCCGTCTACAAGACATGCTTCACGAAACTAACAGTTACATCCGAAGCTTAAAGTTTGCGTTGCAAAACAACTCTTCGCCCTCTTTCAGCGTTGTCATCGATGCAGACAGACGGCCTCACGGTGAGCATGAGCGTCGCTTCAATGCTCCTGCATGTAATGAAGTCGCCGCAGTCATCCACGGTGAGGAGCATAACAGCCGTGACATTGTCATAAGGTACCGGGGCGGTGGTCTGCGCCGCATCAGTGAAACCCACCGTTCATACGACTGTCTCCAGTACCCCTTTCTTTTTCCATACGGAAGCGATGGTACCACTTCAAAATCCCACTATACCAGGCAAGCAGCGATTCCATGTCGACCTCAAAGATGGTCTCCTTACTACGCCTACATGTTTATGGTTAGGGAGGGTGAATTTAACCACTTGCACAGGTGCCGTCAACTATTTCTTCTATTCGCTGTTGACATGGCTACAAAAATGGAGTCGGAGATGTTAGGATTCATCAAGTTAAACCAATCCAAACTTAGAACCGACTCCTACATTCACCTTCGTGATGGTATGCGTTCTGATGGTGACCCACGCAATCTCGTCAAACCGTGCATTTTGCCTTCCTCTTATACTGGTGGAACTCGATGCATGCATGAAAGGACACAAGACGCAATGACCTATGTCCGTCATTACGGGAGGCCTGATTTGTTCGTCACGTTCACGTGCAATCCGAAATGGGTTGAAATCACACGCGAAATTTTTCCATGTCAGCAGCACTCACACCGCCCTGACCTAATTGCCCGCGTTTTCCGGTTGCAGCTGTGTAAGCTTATGGATTTAATCCTTAAAGGGCAAGTTTTGGTACGCGTTAAGTGTCATATGTATACAGTGGAATGGCAGAAACGCAGGTTGACGCAAACAAAATAGACGATTTTATTTCTGCTGAAATTCCGGATCCTGCGCTGGATCCTTTGCTCCACGAAATCATTAAAAACAATATGATACACGGCCCCTGTGGCGCGAATTACGAAAAAAGGTCATGTTGGTCAAGCGGCCCCACTTGCGCAAAGGGTTACCCCCGTAAGTTTATCTCAGAAACGCAGACTGCGACGGATGGTTACCCACTGTACAGACGTAGAAGCCCCGCTGAGGGCGGCAGAACTGTGACAGTTAAGGGGCACACTCTGGACAATCGTTGGGTGGTGCCTTATTGCCCGCTGCTGTCCAAGACTTTTGGAGCCCACATAAACGTTGAATACTGCCACTCGGTTAAGTCAATAAAGTACATCTGCAAGTACGTTAATAAAGGCAGCGATGCTGCCGTTTTCGGTATCCGGCGCGACAATTGCGTTGACGAGGTGGCCGATTACGTGGCTGGACGCTACCTCAGCAGTAGCGAGGCCTTTTGGCGAATTTTCGGATTCCCCATACACCAAAGAGCTCCAGCCATTGTGCAGCTTGCTTGTTGTTCACTTAGAAAATGGACAGAGGATGTACTTCACCGAACAAAACGCCCAGCAGGTTGCGGAAAACCCTAACGGCTTTCTTTAAATTATGCTCAACAGATGCTTTTGCCAAAACATTGATATACCCCCAAGTCCCGTCCTACTGCGTGTGGTCAAACAACCGGTGGGTTCGGCGAAAGGCTGGCGACCCTGTCGAGGGTTATCCCGATGTAAGGTTTAACTCTTGCCTTGGACGCGTTTATACTGTGCCCCCCCCCAGCCAGCAGGAGTGCTTTTACCTCCGCCTTCTACTTCATGAAATTGCTGGGTCAACGAGTTTCACAGATATTCGCACTGTCAACGGCATAGAGTGCCAGTCTTATAGAGAGGCATGCTTCCGTTTGGGATTGCTTGAAGACGACTCCCAATGGGATGCAGCCATGGCGGAGGGTGAACTTCTCAGAACGCCATCACGGCTTCGAACGCTGTTCGTCATTTTGCTTTTGCGATGCGAACTAAGCGATCCTTTGTCGCTCTGGCTGAAGTACAGAGAATCCATGTCAGAGGATGTGCTGTTCTCCGTTCAGCGTAACAGCCCAGGAGTTAAATGCGGTTTCACTGACTTCATATTCAACAGAGCGCTGGTGGCCCTAGAAGATGTTGTTTTTCGAACTGGGAGGTGTCTCTTTACCAACTTACGGTTTACCACCACCGCTCAGAGACGGTTTTGACACTGTACCAATTGAGTTATTGCGGGAAACATCCTACTCCATCGAGGGGCTGAACGCATACATTACCGAAAACGAGCCCAAACTTCTACCTGATCAGAGGGTTGCTTTCACTACCATAACAGACAGGGCAAACGGCTCCAGTGGAGGTATATACTTTTTAGATGCGCCCGGAGGAACTGGCAAAACTTTTGTTACTAAATTAGTCCTGGCAGAGGTACGGCGTCGTGGGGAGATCGCTATTGCGGTCGCATCTTCCGGGATTGCTGCAACGTTGCTACCGGGAGGTAGAACCGCTCATTCGGCTTTTAGGTTGCCGCTTGATCTATGCCGGTCACAAACTCCTCTCTGCAACATAACAAAGAATTCGCCACAGGCTGAAGTTCTGCGGAGATGCAAACTTATAGTTTGGGATGAGTGCACGATGGCACACAAGGGCGCCCTTGAGGCACTTGACCGAAGTCTCCAAGACATCCAGGACTTTTCCGACCCCATCGATGGAATAACCCTTCTCCTCGCAGGCGACTTTAGACAGACTCTACCTGTTATTCCTAAAGGTGCACACGCTGACGCTGTCTGCGCCTGCCCTTTGGCGCCACGTGGAGACTCTTAAACTGAGCACGAACATGCGTGCCTACTTGAATGGGGACTCCAGATCCGCTGACTTCGCACGAAACCTTCTTGCTCTTGAGGAGGGGAAAATGCCATCTGACACACAGGGTTTTGTACAGATGGGTCAGCTTGCCACCATTGTTGAATCACCGGATGAATTGATGAATGCAGTCTTCTACAACCTATCATCTAATTTTGCCGATGCCGATTGGTTTGCTGGGAGGGCCATATTGGCACCGAAGAACTGTACAGTTGATTCCATCAACCTTAAACTGTTGGATTGCATTCCCGGGCAATGTCATGTTTATAAGTCCATCGACAGAACTTCCGATCCATCTGAATTAGCTGAGTATCCCATAGAAGTTTTGAACTCCCTTCAGCCGTCCGGACTCCCACCTCATATTCTTCGGCTCAAAGTTGGTGCTCCGATTATGCTAATCAGGAATTTGCTCCCACCTAAACAGTGCAACGGGACTCGCCTCATTATTAAATCCCTTTCTCCGAACCTGATTGAGGCGACCATTGCAACTGGCTGCGGCAAGGGTGAAGTCGTTCTGATTCCCAGGTTGCATCTTCTGCCGTCAGACGCAAGCATACCAATCAACTTTCGTCGCTCACAATTTCCCGTGAAACTTTGCTTTGCTATGTCCATTAACAAATCACAAGGACAGACGCTTAGCATCGCAGGTCTGCATTTACGTGAGCAGTGCTTCTCTCACGGCCAACTTTATGTTGGGTGCTCACGAGTTGGGTCTAAGGACAGGGTTTTCATTTACTCTCCCAACAACTGTGCTAGAAACATAACCTACACGGAGGTCCTGTAGACAACTCGCTCGGTAGCGTTTAGGCGCCATGCACACATATGCAGTCCGATTGCATGGCAATTTTTTTGTTTGTCATATTGGTTTTAACGTTAGGTCGTCGTAGTCTCCACTTGCCATTACTAAGACATCTTTGTAAAGGTTATCCAGCTCTTTTGCTGCCTTCTGACTTCCATACCTTCACCCGCCACCATCGCGTTTGTCTGTACACTATGATAACCTCACCGTATTCAGTTGCAACACAAGCTGCTAGACACATGAACACCGGCATTAGACATGATTGCTCCACTAAAGTTCCGGTTTCATTAACAGTTGATCGGAGCACCTGCAGTTCGTACCAGTGCATACAAGCACATTCACACTTGAGAAGCTTCGGAGTTCGTTTAATTGTCACAAAAGTCGAGTGCGTCTACGAAATTCAGGCTTCTGCTTCCATATACACTTTACGGCTGCCATGGGTGAAACATGTCAGCCATACGGCTCTATTGTTTTGTTTGTAGTCATGTAAAAAAAAACTAAAAACACACGCCAAGTACGGCGACTCCGGTCGCTTTTCATAAGCTCTCAGCCGTGATGTTGACTGCGACTGAAGAGAAGGCACTTCTCCATTGCAATTGAGGCGCTCGGCCGTACGGCGACCCCGGTCCGGTTTTAATGGTTCTCAGCGTGATGTTGACTGCGACTGAAGAGATGGCAATTCTCCATTGCAATTACGATGCCCCGGCCTTACGGCTACCCCCGTTGCGGTTTTAAGGGGCTCTCAGCGCGATGTAGATAGTGACAGATCAGAATAAAGGAAGTTATATCACAGAAATTTTCTTACCATGACACCCCGTCACTGTTCGCTCTTCTCTCGGTTTTACGGTTCTGCTTTGTGGTCGTGGCAGCGCCGTCTTTTTCTCATAAGACGCGTCTTTTAGTTAGACAAGCGGTTTGTTTGTGATTGCGCACGGCACATACTTTTTTAGTCATCATGTCTATGGCTTCCTCACGGCACGTTTTCCCTTCAATCCCTATGTATGTTGCAACTGAATCGTGGTTTCTTGACTACTTACCACAAGTGCTTCCAGTAATGTTAACGGTCCAATTGGTTAAAGCAGTAACTGCTGCCAGCTTTACTCACAGATGTCTTAGTAATGGCAAATGACTGATGCTACAACGGCTTTCCGTTAAAACTTCCTTCGATACCTTCGAATACTTTTTTGGCCTGCATGATGTCTGCTTAAACTTTGTGTGCATTGTGATCATGACCCCCCCAGTTCCTCCTGTCCCTTGTATAATAATAAGTTTTGTCTTTTTGTTATTTCGCACAGATCCTGTTGTGCCATCCACTTGCTCAAGCCATGTCACGCGTTGCTTTCCCCTGTCCGTCTTGTGAGTATCAGATTTTACAAGTCCTCCTTCCTCATTACGTCGCAGAAAATTCAGCTGCCTCTTCCTGATATTAAGTATGTTTCCTCTTTGTTTCCATTCTCTCCAAAACCTCGTCGTTGCGATGATGGTATCCTTAGCATCCTTCTGTAGAACCACATTTCTGCTGCTTCGAGTCTCTTCTTCATCTTTGAGGAAATTGTCCGTCATTCACTGCCAAACAGGAGGACAGATATCACGAAAAAAGTTCAGTACTCTTTTCTTTGTTTCCAACGAAACTTTTCTGTCTCTTAATATTCTGCTTAGCTTTAGGAATGCATCTTTGCCTATCCCAATACGTCTTCGGATCCCAGTGTCACACTTTCCGTCTTCTGTTAGAACACTTCCCAGGTATTTAAATTTCTGCACGTGCTTGATTTTAATGTCCCCGATCTGTAAATTGCACTTTGGGCTCATCTTTTTTCCTGATAACCATGCATTCTGTCTTCTTCTAGTTTATGTTTAGTCCGTTCTTCTCGCTCTCCTTCATTACCTTCTGTAGGTTTCGTAGTTTCTTTTCCGTGTCTGCTAGCAGCAATGTGTCATCTGCATATCTTATGTTGCTAAGATTGTGGCCGCCAATGGTGAATCATGACAGGATTTCCAGTTCTGTCACAATTCCCTCGCTGTATAGGGTGTATAAGTCCAGTGAGAAGACACATCCTTGCCATACGCTTCTTTCTATTTTTGTATATATGCTGAACTCATTTTTATTCGTATGCAGGCGGTTTGCTGCCAGTAGAGATTTTTTTATTATTCTAATGTCTTTCCCGAATATGTCAAGGTTGCTGAGCAGCTCCAACAGATTTTTGTGGTGTAGTCTATAAAACACAGGTGCGCGTTCTTCTGTATTTGTATTGTTCTTTCTGATAGCATTCTGAGTATGAATATCGCGTTACTTGTCCCAGTGTCTTTAACGAACCCGCACTGTTCTTGTCCTATCTCTGGCCTGATTCTGCTGAGTGCACTATTCATCAGAATTCGTATGATGAGTTATGTGGCTCATTAGGCTGATTGTTCGGTGGAGTTCACATTCGTTTGTGCCTGGTTTCTTAGGCAGTCCTATGAAAATAGATCTACTTAGGTCATCCGGCATATCACCACTGTTATTGATTTCATTTATTATATCTGTAATCTTGTCTATGCTAAAATCATCTAAGGCTGTCTGCATCTCTGTTACAATTCCGTCTGGTTGCTACCTTGTTTCTGTTAATTTGACCAGCACAGTTTCCACTTCAGTTTTACTATTTCCGGTCCATCTGTATTTCTGTGTATTGCCGCTTGTTCTCTTTCGTTCCAATATATTCATTCCAGCACTGAAGAATTTTCCTTTCTCTAATATGACCGTTCCATCCTTGGAATTTATGCAGCCTATTGATAAGCAAATTATCTGTCCTGTTAGTTCAGTTATTTTTTTTATCCATATCTCCTTTATCTCTGATACCCATTCTCTCTATTTCTGCACATTTTTCGTTGAGCCATTCTTCTTTAGCCTGCTTGCATTTGTTTCTTATTTCATTGTGTAGTTTACTCTATCCCGTTCCATGTTTTTTTTTTTTTTTTTTTTTTTTGGTCTCTTTGCAATTTGGGTGCTGTGTTAGGCTTGTAGCTTCCCTCTTAGTTTACATATAACAGGGATGTGGTCGCTTCCGCACTTGGATGGGTTTTGTAATGAACAACTGCATTGTTGAATCTTTTGTTAATGGTTATGTAATCAATTTGATATTTAGTTTCTCCTCCTGGGCTTCTCCGTGTGCTTGGAACCAGGTTTTAGCTATTACCTGGTCATTGAAAGTGCCCCATTGGACACATTTTTCTTCGCGTTCCTAGTCCGAATTTGCTAGCTATCATTGCCTACTTTGGCATTCAGGTCTCCAATGATAATTATAACTTCTTGTGATTTGCACTGAGCCTTGGCGTTGTGTAACATGGAGTAGGAAGATTCGTCTACAAAAAAAGCTTTCAAGAATTTCAAGGTTAGCCTGCAGCAACGTATAACTGTAGAAGTGTAGAGAAAAATGAAGTGTCCGCTGGATGGTGTTTGTAAAACGGAAGAAGTGGTTTACAAAGCAGAAGTGAAGGACGAAAATGGCCAGAACAAGAAATATATAGGGTATACTGAAAATACCTACAAAAAGAAATGGTACAATCATAAGTCAT